TAGAAAAAGCCGACACCGACCGATCAGGCCAGTATCGTCTCATGGTGGCCCAAACCAAATGCGTGGGCGCGTGGAAATCTCGATGGGTCGTGGTGGACGCCACAATGCGAGAACGACTTCTTTGCGAACGTCTCGGCCACCTCGCAAATGGTGTTTCGTTTTGCCACGCCAAAGCCAGTGGAGATCCAATCTCAAGTTCCGAAAGGAGGTCAAGAAGTGCTGGGACGGGGTTGAGATAGTTTCGACGCATTGTGCAAGGGTTGGTTGCGCGCTGTGCTGCATCTACTTAATGATTTATCGCCTTGCAAATATAATCAGGGTATGTTTTTTGACCCTGTCGCCTTCGTTGCGCTGATCAAATATTGCAGGACGATGTAATCTAATACAATAAATCTACATTGACATATACATTGGCAAACCCGCGAAGTCGCGTTAAGGTTACATTCAGCATTTGCAAGTCCAGCTGCACACATTTGCCCAATTTATCCCTCGCACCAAACACCGCTCCACCATTGCTTCACCCTCTTCAATCCTCCTGCCTCGCCTGTTTGTTGGGCTCCAATTGAGAGTAGGAATTCAATTCCACGATAATCGACTGGAGATTTACGAAAATTGACAGGCTACGTTACTCAGAATTTAGGCATCTGGATGGGGTGTGATCATCTAGACGAACGAACGACTGCACCAAGACCGACAAGTGCAATTTTGGTCAACATAACCGATGTCGACATTGCACTCCTGCCCAAGCTCCTCGAATCCGGACGAAAACGTCCACGACCAGCGGGGCCCCAAGGACGGGTGGTGTGAGGCGTGCAATGTGGGCACAGGGCTCGGGATATCACGCTGTCACGTGATCGCAGGCCCGTACTCCTGCCATTCCTCGACGCGCATCCATCGAGTAGTCCCAAATCTGCGTGTCACTGAACTACGAAACAAAGATCCATGTCTCAATCTACGGTACGCCCTCCTTTAAGCTGGTGTCAATGAATTTCAACGACGATCACTTTGATTTTGGGAGTTGTAGACCCGTCCCTCCATACCCGGAGGAGCTCCTCCTCCGCCCTACGAGGACCCCCGGTTACGAGCACGCGCGAGTTCCGCAGAGCGCCGCGAGCACAACGAGGGGCAGGAGTTGGGGGCGAGAACATTACCAACGAGGTTGCGCCTGGGGCATGCCAAATACGGGTGTGCATTTCGTTTATATTCCATGTCTCTTTCTCATCCCCTGCCAGGCTGATGTGAACACCACAGTCATCGAAGGGAGCAGCCGGCGAACGCAGGCGTGTTGATGCGCGTTCGCAAAGCGTGCGCGCGCTAAGAAGTGGCTCGGACGCCGCTTCCGTCGTAAAAATTTGGTGCGCCCTGGGTCTTGGCACTCTTACTCTTGCTGACTTGTGTTTGCAGAACCAGTTTCCGAATGCGCAGCGAAGGATTTCCTTGCAATTTGCCAAATGTAATCTATACACCGTGTTACCATGACCCAAATCTATGCATCCTCCGTCTTGGCCGTTTCTCTTACTCGAGTCCGAGCTCCAACTGAGCTCTCAACTTCGTACCCCCACTTCGCTCTTCCGCTCGAGCACCTGGCGGGATCGCCAATCTTAGACTCTGACCGCGAATTCCCCGTGCCGCAACCCATTGCGCTCGAAGAAACGACATCGTGCCGACACCGCCGCATGACACGTTGTACATTACATAGACTAAGCGTAGGAACGATGAACAAACTTTTTGTCGCTTTGGGTTTATAGTCGTATAAGTACAACGACACTTTTGGGGCCATAAAGGTCGTGTAGGGAGAACACCGCCTTGGACGCGGACTGCAGCGCGGCCGGCGTGTAGACGCGTAGAGTGCGAGGCCGCGAAGATTAGGTGACGGGTGAACACGTCGTCGCCTCTCAGCTGATTCCTGCTGATTCGGGGCATCTCGTCATCGTTTGGGCTCGTGCCGACAGTTGGAGGGTCGGTGCCTGAGCCGCCGCCTTGCCCAGCGATCCGTGGAACTGTGTTTGCTTCGAGCGCCAGCTCGCGTTTGATGGGGGGTCTGAGATTCAGTTAGACGTGCGTAGCAATGAGTTTTTGCACCGGCCTGGCCGGTGCCCCTTGGTGAATCGTCCAACTTGGATTGGAAAATAAAAAAAAGAATTCATCATTGACTATGAGAATTAGACGGAACGGAAGCTTCAAGCTTGAAAAGGAAACGGCGCACCCGTGGGCCCTGTCGTCAGAAATATCGCTTCAGTAAACAGTCACGTTATCGCGACTGTGCTTGCTTCCTACCAGTGCACAACCGCGTTTTCTATCCGGGAACATGGTTCTAGACTCGCAACTGCCCGCTCTCCGTCCTATCTTTCTATCCGAAATGGCCCAGTGCCCTTCCACCCCGATTGCCACAAGACGCGCGCAGCGACACGCTTCGCGCCCTTACACGACTGACTCCTGTTCCCCCATCCCCGGACTGATGCTACGGATTTGATGGCCGCGCCCCATTCGGTACTCCGGCGCAATCCACGCAACCTCGAGCTTTTTTGAATGTATTGTCACCCTGCAGCCACAGAAGCCTCTCAGAGCATTGAAAAAACCATTAATATGTCTCTTACCATCACTTCAGATTTTTCTGGCTGTAATGAGGATGTAATGTGCTTAAATACCTTTTTAATACAGACAATTGGCTGGTTCCTATGATTGTACGTGTTCCCTACTCATATCTTCTCCTTAGCTCAGCTTGTAACATCTCATCTCTTGTGTCTGTCATTCCTATTTGCTACACTTCCTGAGTTTGATCCAGGTGCAATGTAAGTGTTCTGCCTTTATTTGATCTGAATCGTTTTCAACCCACCGTCTTTTTTTGCTCCTCGCCACCGTCTTGCATGCACGAGAATTATGGGCCCTTTTGAGAAAGACCTATCTACATAGGTTCATATGAACTGTATTCCAAGAGACAATTTATTGGCTTCATTTTGCTAGATGTTGCCCGCAGAGTTTTATGGACACAATAATTATTGGCCTCGTTATGAAAGCTGGTATCCCCATAGTGTTTGCCATTTGTCTATTGGCTTCTTTGTCACCCCTCTTTCCCCAGGTATTGTCCCCGCTTTTGACCTGTAGACTCAACCTTTTGATGTCAGCCACCAGCAGACTTACGTCTTTCCCAACATTTCTCTTGGCAATACTTGACATCCAAATCGGGTTGCGAGCAGGTCCACTTGAGCCCTCAGAATTTCTGCGGCTCTGGTAAGCTTGTCTATCGCGCTTCAAGATGTGTTGAACATTTTTTTCAAGCTGAAATTGTCCACATAAATATTTGAGACACAAGCATGAAGAGGAATTGGCTCACTTCTTCTTCATCATCACTGTCAGGTGAGTCAACAACAGGAAGAATTGCTGCCTTACTTCCTCCTTGTCCTGTAAGTTGTCAGAGCCTTCATGAGACAATTGTGCATGCTTTCCAAGCAAGCTAGTTGTGGTCAAGCCAAATTGTGCCACCCTCCATCACCTTCCTAACACGGCACAATTGCCAGACCAGCCATGGTCATCTCCAGTGGCAATGCTGCTGGTCTGTAGGCTCAATGTATTGGCCCACCCCATCGGTTGTTATGAACCAGAATAGGATGCTGGTAGAGCAGGATCGTTCAGCGGCGAACATCTGGTCCCAAAAATGCAGTGGGGGCAGTCCAACAGCCTGAACAAGATGTTTGCAAAAAATGGCTGGAGTGGAACTTCAACGCCTTGCATGTACAGGTCCATGTTGCCAGGCTAGTGATGTATTTTGTATCTGCATTATTGCTCAGGGGTAGCTTTGCGAGCGCAAGCCATACCACGTTGAATTGTTTTGAAAAGGGGTAAGAGGCTTGGAGCGACCAAGTCCAAAGCCGTCATCCAATAGGTGGACATGGACAAGATATGCTGGAGTGACTTTGGTGATTAGAACCCAAATGAGCAGGTCAAGGCAGAGATGGAAGTGATATAAGAAAAGCCATGCTTTAACTGCTTCAGAAGTTTTGACATTCATGGTCATTTGAAGGCGAGAAACAAATGGTGAAGTCGAATGGGCCCAGAATCCATCGCTGTGGTGCATACCAAGATGTCCAGAAGTATGCCCAAGCCTCATGCAATCCATACATTCGGCAAAACTGATACATCTTGTATACAGCTTCTCGGTGAATGGCTTCAGCTGTCAGAACCATCCTGCATTGGGAAGAAGGGATGTTGACAGAAATGTTTCATGAAGAGATGCAGGAGTGGCTTGCAATGAGGAGCTGGGCAGAATATGTGTAAGTTGCATCCTTGGAGCTCTTCTCACCCTCTTCAAATATCCAGTCGGGCCTGTCCTCTGCATCCTCGTCATTGTCTTTCTCTAGGAAATCCTCCAATTACTGGAGAAGCCCCCCTTCATGCGAGTCGGCCATCCCCTCTTCGCCTGAATCCAATGGTGTCTCTGGGTTGACTTGACCATCATTTCTGTCCAAGTGGTAGGGATTGGCACCGTACCCGTACGGTACGGTGATACATATGTATGGTACAGGGAAATACCTGTACCGTTGGCCATCTTGATGCAAAAAATTATGACCGTACGTATATGGTACAGTCCTGTATTTTACTGTACCATATATGGACCATACGGCCGTATACGGTGGATACGGTCAAGCTGTCAATCACATCAAAAATTGCCTCATTTATCCGTGTCGTTCTGTCCTCGGACAGGTCGGGAGTCCTTGGCACTGCTCGGCACTGGATTGTCCCACTCCACACACACTCAAAGCATTCCGTGCTATGAATTCCGCAAAGTCCGTTCCAGCTGAAGTCCTGGAGCGGTTAGTCTATCTTTTGGTCTCATAGTCCTCTTGAAAGGAGATTGCCTCCCTTTTGGTCTCACAGTCCTCTTGAAACATGAGTTGCGCGAGGTTGCCGCAGATCGGCGGAGGTTCGGTGAAGTTATCCCCTCGATACAACCTCAAAAACATTCTGTCCGTCTGATACTCCTCCTGAAAAGCATGGAAAACGGCGCGATGGCCGAGTGGTTAAGGCGACAGATTTGAATTTCCATTATCTGTTGGGATCTCCCGCGCAGGTTCGAACCCTGCTCGCGTCGTTTTTTTGTTTTAATCATTTTTGGACGAGCACTTACAAATATATGGGGCGCAAACACAGCATTAATAAGCACCACATGAGGCAAGGGCAGCAGCAGCCACAGCTGATAACGGTATTTCAAATGGTGTCAGAGTAATTTTACATGTAAGAGAAGTGATGAAAAGAACTTGGGAAGAGACAACTGTACACTAACAAAAGTCAAAGCACGAGCGTCTCAGGAAGGGCCACAGAGTGCTGGTAGCAGAGCCTGAAATCACTTCCGACAGACCCCCATAATTTTATAAAAAGGGTCAAAGAAAGTTCTCAGAGTGCTTGCGTGCTAAACCACAGCGTCCACGCGGATGAGGGGTCGTCACCTATCAGTGTAACAAGGTCTAGAGCTAACCACCGAGTCCCGGATGCAGCCGGAACTTGAGAGTACGGCCCCAATATTTGTCGACGCATGGGATGACTTATGCTGAAATATAGAACTATCCGTGACCCCAATAACCATACAGTCTGGCCACGTCGATGAGTATATCTAGAACAGAATCAAGGAAGCGCACCTGGGGGTTTGGTATCCGGGATCGGTGTTGCCATAACACGATTAAGAGACACAGTATTATCTTCGCCGGATTTCATTTCTTCAAAGCCTTGCAAGGTCCGAGTCAGTGGGCTAGTTCCTGAATCCGAGGTCCCACAGGCATCTGGGGAGATGGTCTATCCATTCGGTAATAGACTGAGCAGCGTTGAAGTCAATGTGAAGTCCAATTGAGGCCCTGTGTCTACTGTTTGGCTTAATTGGGAAGAAAACGAAATGAGAAAGCGTCGATATCAGAACGACGCGAGCAATAGAGTAGTTTCGAGGCTGACTTGGATGACACGGTACACACATGGCCCGCAAGACGTCGCTCGAGCAGTGTGATCTAGTCTAGCGTTGATCAATCCCCGAGCAGTGCCATATTGGCGGTAGGGGTTAAAGGTCGCCCTAGTGAAGTTGACAGCGGCTCCAAAATATGGGTCTGTGCATAGAAGCAAGGAAGTGGCATGCGGTACTAAATTCTGCTGAAATCTATCAGTTGAGGACAACGGGGAAATGTTCGATAGTGTACGGGAATAACCGACAAAGGCCAGAAGCGGCTTCCGCCCCTCATCTGAAAGACATTAGCAGGACAAAGAGTTCACAGCTGCGGTCGAATGACGTCTCCCGCCAGTCGTACAGTCAGTCGTGTTTATGAGCGTCGTTAAAGAGGATTCAAGAATGCCGGATGGCGTTCACGAGGTCCCGCTACTGCATCTAAAAATGCGTGGATTAGTACCTGACCCGCAGCCAGAGAGTGCACAGGTGCATGAGTTGCGCAGTCAGAATCTCAAGATCAAGCATATTGCGGCAGCAGCGGTAAAACCAGTTGTGAAAGAGACCCCATAATGGCGCATAATTAATTGCACTCAAGACCGTGTTCGTTCCGTTGAGCTGGAATCCAGCGAAGGATACTGCATTTGTAAACATGCGAGACTCGACGCGTTCCAGGTGGCTCGACCATTAACAGTGAAACGTCGCGAGTGCATTCTCCATCTAGTTTACATTCACCACCGGCGACGTTATGAGACGTATTCCCACTGGCCAGGCTCTGGTTTCTCGGCAAGTGGCTCCCAGCTGAACGCAGGCGTGAACAAAGGGCCAGACAAGGAATGAGACGCGACTCACGCCTTCCACTCGATCATTTGGGAAGCGAGTTTGAGCTCGTCTATGGCAATGAGCAGAGACTCCTCGATGACGCCCTCGTCTAGCGCCTTCTCTGCTGCGGCGATATCTGCATTCGCGGCGTTTACAATGTCGAGTTTCTTTTGTATCAGCGCCTCGGTTGCCTGGCGGTACACGGAGGTTGGTGGGATGTGCGAGAGGGTGGTGAGGGTGTTCTGGTACGTCTGGGAGGGCGGGGAGGGGGTCCGGGTGGACTGCGAGACCGTGAGCCCGGTGGAGGACCTCAGCGCCTGGAAAGAGTGGACGAGTGAGGCGCAACAGATGTATCGGATCGGAGTTTGAATATAATATTTGGCCCGAGCCTTTACTTTGCGCACTCCTACGATGGCAGCGTTGGCCGTCGCATTACCGCTCTTCTCGCGGCCGCAGATGACGCGACCGCTGTTGGCCCGCCCATTGTTCTCATCGTTATTCGCGTTTTCGACGCCATTTGCATTCGCGGCCGTCTCTGCATCCCGCGCATGGTCATTGTCATTCCCCTCGCTCCAATCCCTGCTCGAGCTCTTCCCCCCATTCGTTCTCGCCGTCCCCAAGAGCAAAGTCTCTCACTCGCGAAAATCTATGCGCGAAGCAAACAAGGGCTTGAAGGACAAGCACAGTGCGTCGTGCACTGTCTCTGTTCATTTCGATGCTGACGCGGTGTAGATATTGTCAATTGCCCGGCTGTGGTGCCCCCAAGCTGGCGCACCATCTCTGCAACCAATGCTACTCATTCCTGAGCAGAATGTGGAAGCAGTCGAAACAAAACACAAATCCGCCATAAAAAACCGTGTTCTGGCTGGGATTGGGAGTCGCGTCGAGCTGCGGGGGCATAGACTATTGCTATACGCGCGCTGTATGTATTTACTAGATCTGCTTTTTTTCTGCTGCCACCGTTTTTGAGACCTTTTACTTCACGTGAGCGGGTGAAGGTAAATCCGCGGCTACTTCATGTTCGCACAACCACCGGAGTTTGCTCCGAACATGTTGGCCAGAAGACTGTTGTCCCGCGCCCCAATGCGTTCAGCCAGCACCCATGCACCCCAGGGCATCTCCTCCATTCTCCAAAAGAACCCTGACGATGTGGTTATCACTTTCGCCCAGCGCAGTGCCATCGGCCGCATGAAGAAGGGGCAATTGAAGGACACCACCGTCGACGAGCTACTGCAAGCACTGTTCAAGGTAATTCCCTTCTACACGCGTAAACCCTCTCCAATCTCGGTCAGGCAACTCTGGAGAAAACCAAGCTCGACCCCTCCAAAATTGACGACATTTGCGTTGGTATGTTCCGCATTTGACTTGCAAGCCTTGCCTAAGTTCTGCAACAGGGACGTGTCATCCTCCCTCCCCTCTCTACACCTCTAGAGCTGCGGCGTTGGCCGCAGGCATTCCTAACCATGTTCCGATCTCGACTGTGAACCGTCTGTGCTCCTCTGGCTTGATGGCAATCCGCAATATCGCCCACGCTATCCAGGCGGGCGAGACCTCCATTGGACTCGCAGTCGGTGTCGACAGCATGACCATGCAGTTCGTTTTGGGCTTCACAATTCTGGCCGCATGTTTATTCGCTTGCTAGTCCTCGTCCCACGCCTCAAATTAGCGAAGCGGTGGACCAGAACCCAGAAGCACACGACTGCATTCAGGTTATTAATATGGCGTCCATTCGAGACGTCCACTGATCATATTACAGCCCATGGGGTGGACGTCCGAGATGGTAGCACAAACCTACAAAGTCTCGCGCGAAACGCAGGATAAGTATGCGCTTATATCGCACTCGCGCGCCACTGAAGTCGCCTATTCTTGTCGCGTTGTGCTAACCGCAGCTCAGGCTCAAGCCAAGGGAATTTTCGCGGACGAAATTATCCCGCTCGAGATCAAAGGTGCTGTCGTCTCGGTCGATGACACTATCCGGCCTGGTGTCACGGCGCAGTCGCTGGCTGCTCTCAAACCCGTGTGGCCGGATTGGGGTGCAGGCTCTACGACTGCGGGAAACGCAAGCGGGACAGGTGACGGGGCAGCTATTTGTATTCTCACGACCAGAGCCCGCGCTGAACAAGAAGGGATGGAGATTCTCGCCAAATGGGTCAGCAGCGCTGTTGTTGGTTAGTTCATTTCCTCCGTGTCTTTCATTTTATTGACAGCACTTCAGGCTGCGAACCGAAATATATGGGAATTGCGCCGATTTTCGCAATCCCGAAAGTCCTTGAGCAGGTCGGGTTGAAGAAGGAGGATATCGATGTCTACGAGGTGCGTTGGCTTTCCATGGTATACTGTTACCGCTCAACTAGCTGCAGATCAACGAAGCGTTCGCCTCACAATTCGCGTACTGCGTAGAAGAATTGGGCATTCCAATGGAGAAAATCAACCCCAAGTGCGTTCACGTACAGTCCTATGTATGCGTAACTGAACTCGTTCCAGTGGCGGCTCCATCGCCATCTCACATCCTCTCGGAATGAGTGGGTGTCTCCCGTCCACTCTGAGACTTGAAACTAATGGTTTTCTAGCTGGCGTTCGTCAGGTTGTCACGGGTCTTGCGGAATTGAAGCGCAAGAACGGGTCTTGTTGTGCACTAGCATGTGCATTGGAAGCGGCATGGGCGCTGCTGGTAAGCAGTGTGCGTTTTGGGGAGGTCCCAGACTTAATCCACTTCTTTCAGGGATCTTTGTGAACGAAGCGCGCGGCGTCAGCAAGCTGTGATGTAAAGTACGAATACAAGGAGCACACTGAGGGAAACGTCGAGCAGTGAAATATCCAATTGAACTTGACAGACTTTATGGAGGCTCGCAGTCGATAGCTTTCAAATCAGTCTGAAAGTCTGAATTTTTGAACAGCAATATTTTGCGTCTCCCTTCGCAAGCTACAAACATGTAAAGTACAGTCGGAAATAACGAAATACAAGGACACCTGTGCAAAGAACCAGTCAGCAATGGTTCACAGCGCACAGTGAGACAATAGAAGAATAATCTCAGCAAAGTCATTCATGTCAGTGAACCACGCAGGCCGAAACCTGTAGACCGTGGCTCAAGTCGACTAAGAGGTGCCAATGGTTGTATGTATACAAACTCGTCATAGAAAGATGGGAAAGAAAGAAATGCAGAAAAAGACGCGTTCTCACCTTCGCAGCGAACGAGAAGAGAGATGGATGGTAAGAGACAGAAGGATGAGATCGGCTAAATGCGTTTCGCTTAAAAAGGCAGAAATCACGGTCACATCAGTCACCGGCCGAGCCCTGCCGAACGTATCAGCCGAACTGCACAGGTGGTTTCGGCTAACAAAAC